GAGGTTGGTTATGGCAGCAGTGGGAAACAGTTGTTCCAGGGTGGAGAGGCCGGCTGGCTTGGTAGTGTGGAAGGCCTTGGATTCCTCCTGGGAGAGACACAAAAATCAGTGTGAGGCAAAAGCGGGCAAAGTTGTCAAAGAATATGCTGGTAAAAAGCTAGAGCGGCACGCAACAAACCGTTCACGGCAACAACAGCATATTCTTTGACAACTTTGCCCGCTTTTGCCTCACACTGATTTTTGTGTCTCNTAGTTTTTACTGAAATGATTAAATAAAGTCAACATTTCACAGAGCTGTCTGGGGTTTGTTCAACTTTTAAAATATGTTTGAATGGTGATATACACAGTGATAGATGTTCAGGACTAACATTTATAATAAATACAGCCCAGCTAGCGGGAAGGTTCTCACAACTTTGGCTAACGTTACCTATAGGTTCTAATAAGGTTTTAAAGACACGTTTTAATCTGATGTTCAAATAACCTTTTTAGGATGTTTATTATTTCAAATAAGGTTTAAGGTTAACTAAGACATAACGTTTTAAATGCAACATTCAGAGGATGTTTTGAGGATGTTATTGAGGCCTGAGATGACAGAACGTTTTTTTTATAAAATTATCCTTTCATGTGATATGTTAACAAAGGTGGAACGTTTTGCCTGCAACATTCTAAGGATGTGTTTTGGACGTTGTTGGGTAACACATTAAAGATGTTCTTTATAAAGCGTTCCCTCAATGTTACATGATAACAAATAAAGAACATTTTCAAAGCAACATTCTGAAAATGTTTTCAGGATGTTATTGAGGCCTGAGATGAAGGAAAGTGTTTTATAAAATGTTCCTTTAATGTGATAAGTCAACAAAGGTGGAACGTTTTGCCTCCAACATTCTAAGGATGTGTTTTGGACGTTGTTGGGTAACACATTAAAGATGTTCTTTATAAAACGGTCCCTCAATGTTACATGAAAACAAATAAAGAGCATTCTCCAAGCAACATTCTGAAAATATTTTCAGGATGTTATTACGCCTGAGATGAAGAAGAACATTTTGAAAGCAACATTTGGATAATGTTTTCAGGAGGTTATTATTTTTTTATAAAATGTTCCTGTGATGCGAAATATTAACAGGGTCATAGTCAACGTCAGATTTATTTGTAGTGCGCTTTAAAAAACAAAGTTGTTGCATTTGTTTGAAAAGGATGTTTAAAAGAAATCTGATGTCACCACATTTTCCTTTTTAGAAAAAAACAAGCACTTAATTCATGATATTGCATGTTTGCGTAGGCATGTCTGAGTTCCCAGCTAGACATTGTTGGTTCTAAAAACATTTTGAGAATGTTACCATTCATTGTTCTAGGAATGGTTTCATCGCAAAGTTTTATTTTGGTTCCTATAATGTACTTCTGAAAGGTAGGATAACGTTCTCTAAAAACATTCTTAAAATGTTTGGTGATAACATTGTTCGAACATTATACCCCAAGTGTTTTTGTTGTTTATGCACATATCTCTATTGTCATATGGATCGAATAACACTTAGAAAACCAAAGACAGACATATAGAAGTCTCATTACTCTGCATGTTTTTAGAGCTAGGCTAAATGAAATGCTTGTTGATACTATGGGCACTTGTAAATGTCTATAACTATGTAAATGTATCCTGTAAATATAATGTATAATGTCCTTTATTGTTTTATGTTTCATGTGGAACCTATATGCTGCAGGTCTCCCTTGAAAAAGAGATCTATGATCTCAATGGGACCAATCTCGTTAAATAAAGATTTGAAATGAGAAGAACGGACCGACTATCACTGCCCGTCCCTGAAACCCCTGTTAGTGTTTGTATGTGTTTCTTTCTACTGTGTGTCTCTCTCTCTGCCTGCTGGTCTGCTCTACACGGCTGGGAGCAATCTCCAAT